AAAGAGGAACATGTACATGTCAATCACCTTCGATATCTCTGGTGGTCAGTGGAAGATTACGGCGATGGTGACGAATGAGGACGAAGATGATGAGGATGGTCTATGGTTATCATGATGATGATGATGATGATGGCTATGATGATAATGATGATGGCGTTGATGGTGATGATAATGATGATGATGACGATGATGGCAATGGTGATGATAATGGCAATAATGATAATTGCTATGATGATGATAATGATGATGACGACACAATGATATATCTACTTGAAAGATAAGCAAAATGATGATGGTGACAGTGATGATAGTATTAATGATGATGATGATAATGACGTTGAAAACATTAAGGGTGACATTCAAGTTAGAAAAACGACTTGCTTATTTTAGCTATAAAAATTTTGAAACATCTACAACTGCACCCATGCAAAAATGGAAAAAATAGTTCATTGTACTTTACACATGCTTTGAATTGCCTTACTTCACTTGGATTTTGTTATGTATGTCAGTCAATACTTATAACTTATATGTGTGAATGCGTGTGTATGTGAGAGAAAGAGAGAGAGAGAAAGAGAGAGAGAGAGAGAGAGAGAGAGAGAGCAAAGAAGAAAAAAGACAAGAGGAAGAGATAATGCGAAAACGTAGTTGAAATAAATTCAATAATTAACTTACTGAAACCTTGCACCTTCAAAAGAAATTTTTTTAAATTACTACATTGGCTACACTATAAAAACACGCACACACACACACAATCCCACACGCACGCACACACACACACACACACACACACACACACATAAACACACACACTCACAACACACACAATCTTAAATTTGGCCAAAATGAGATGAAAATAAATCCAGCTTGGAAATAAATTTATTTTTTCTTTCCTCTTAACTTCACAAAGTTTTATTTTTTTTACATAAAGTTTTATTTTTTTTACATTTGGAAAAGTTGTCAAACGAAATGAAGTATGCGCAGTGCATCTAATCATGAAATGAAACCCTAAACAAGTCTGAAGATTTTAAAAGCTCAACATACAAAATACCAGCACAACAACCACAACAACAACAACAACAGTAACAACAACAACAACAACAACAGAATATTAACACCAACAACACTAACATTTTCGATGGTGAATATTAAAATTACATCAACATAAATTGACGCAACATAAAAGACAGCGTAAAATGACATCACCAACAACAAAAACATCAACAAAGTGCAACAACATCAGCAAATAAAACTAAAACATCAACATCATAAAGGCATAAAAATTAATGTAAGCGCAACATACCAGAAACAACAGTCAATGCTAATGTACTGTCAATCTGTATGCTAATTGTAGGACAAACACAGAGACATTAACGTCATCGATAACATCAATAGCCATTATTACATCAACAACACCAACAGAATGAACAACATGGCAGATAGCATTACCAGAAGCATCAAAATCCTTACCAACGTAATGTCATATTAACATTATGACGCCAATCACGCATTCAACATAACTAACCATCATTACTACATTCGTAACATCGATAACGAAAAATAAACATCGCCAACAACGTAAAGTAAATTGAGGAGAAGTCATTTGAATACAAATTAACTTTTACCGCCATAACCGCGATGACGTCATTATCATCGTCATTATCGTTACTATGTAGCAACAGCAGCAGCAGCAGCAGCAACAACAACAAAAACAACAGCAACAACATTGACGAACATTAACAACAAATTACGATAATATTTTTAAAAACAACAAAAACATTAACACCACATTAACAAATACATCAAAACCGGCAAAACCACCACCATCGCCAACACCACCCTTACTGCCACAGCCACCCCCACTACAGCCACCCCCACTACAGCCACCACCATTACCACTACAGTCATCATCACCCCCAACAACGCCACTTCGACCACTAAAGCCATCACCACTCCAACGCCACTTCAGCCACTGCAGCTGCTAGAACCACAGCTACTACAGCCGCCGGAACCACTACCGCCACCAACAACAAACGCCTCCTCCTCCCTCCATTATTATCCCCATGGGGGGATACGAATTGGAAATGTTAGCTGACAGGATAATAAATAAAAAATAAAAAATATTTATGCATAAGTAACGCCCTATTATAAGAATTATAAAACAAAACTACATTTGCATTTAATAATAATTATAATAAATGAATAATTATAGTAATAATAATAACAATAATAATAATAATAATAAATGAATAATAATAACAAATATTATTATTATAATTATTATTATTATTATTATTATTATAGTAATGTAATGACAAAGATAGAATAATAAACTTAAAAACAGCAATTTTAGAGTTTTTAATGACTACCAAATAGCACAGTCTGATCAGTGTTCTTATTATTATTTAAATTACTTATATTATTATTATTATTATTAATATTGTTGTGTTTATTATTTATATTATTCTTACTATTATATTTTTATCATTTCTACATCCGCTGATTGCAAAATTGCATTGCTTTGGCTGGCAGACTGTATGTGCTACGAACAAAAAAAATCAAAAAACAATACAAATCTACTACTACTGCTGCTACTACTACTACTACTACTACTACTACAAATAGCCGTCTGTTACTACTACTACTACTACTACTACGACTGCTACTACTACTGCAACTAGTAGTGTGCTGCTACTTCTACTACTACAACTATATTATTACAACTGCTGTTACTACTACTGCTGCTGATGCTGCGACTACCACTACTACAAATAATAATAGTGAACAAACACAATCAAATTAACACTCAAACATAAACTGGCAAACACGTACAACTCTATAGAAACAAATATGATCATGTATACATAACTTATAACACAAATGTCTCAATCTCAACACAAGAGTTCTTCCACAAAGTACACACAATACATACAAACATACACACATAAACACGCACGCACATACACATTTATACATACACGTATGCAAATACAAACTTCCACAAACACAACATAAACTAACTTCTGATGTGTACTCACGAGGAACATTGTTCAAATTCAACAATACGGACTAACACGTACAAACAAACGAATACACACACACACAAATACATACATACATTCATACATACATACATACATACATACATACACACACACACACACACACATACATACATACATACATACAAAAAAAACAAACAAACGTACACATGAACTCGCATGTATAAAAGTACACACACACGTACAGACGGTGACATGATTAACTGCACCCAGGACGGGTTCAAGTGATCTGAAGTTGATCATGAACAACAATAAACAAACAACTCCATCACTCCATAACATCAACAACAATAACATCAACATATACAACAACATCATCGTCGTCGTCTTCATCATCGTTATTCTCAACTACATTACCAACAACAACATCATCGTCGTCTTCGTCATTGTCCTTCTCAACTATATTGCCAACAACAACAACATCATCGTCGTCGTCTTCATCATCGTTATTCCCAACAACAACAACAACATCATCATTGTCGTCTTCATCATCGTCCTTCTCAACTACATTACCAACAACAACATCACAATAACAACATTATTATTGTCGTCTTCATCATCGTCGTACAAACAACAACACCACAACATTAACATTATCGACCATAAATTCGACAAATTTGTCGCAAACAGATACAGCAACCAAAATAAAGGGAATGGTAATGACTAAGATGCTGCTGATAGTAATGGTGAATGCGATGATAATGATGACGACAACGACGACGATGATGAATATGATGATGATTTGTGGCCTTAATGATGACGATGGTGATTTTAAAGGAAGGCAGCGTTAATGTAATGATTATAAGGATGATAAAAATACCTTCAAAAACGATAAAGACATCAATTATGATGAAAATTATGACGAAAATGATTCTCTCTCTCTCTCACTCTTTCTTTCTTTCTTTCTTTCTTTCTTTCTTTCTCTCTTTACAATTACTCAATTGAAACGATACGATGACGATGATGATGACGATGACGACGATGATGATGACGTAATAATAGTCACAAGACCTTTAATGCATTCCATTCCCGGACGAAAAAAGTGATTATTTAAATGAATTCTCGACGCCCCTCATAGCTATATCATCTACATCATCATCGCCATCATCGTCGTCGTCGTCGTCATTCTCATCATCACCATCAACATCACCATCACCATCACCATCGTCGTCATCATTATCCTCATCGGTATAAATATTATCGGACGTAAATTATTATAACACTTAATTCCATCATTTATCAATGACCTTCTTAGTGATGATGACGCTGATGATGATGACGAAGACGACGACGATGATTTTATTTTATCTGTAACGTCATTTTCATTGTTTTTATTGCTGAATAAAAGATTGTTCCCATTATTGCTGTTGTTATTGTTGTTGCTATAGCGACTGCCTGATGTAGTATATTGAGTGGGGAGATATAGAATGATTAAAAGTGCAATTAACATTATCGCCCTCGCCAGACGACGAGTGAAAATGCACTCGGGCTATGAATTGTAAAAAAAAGAAGATAGGCAATATCATTGAAAATTGTAAATACGGACTCCCGCCAATGAAGTTATGACGTCATCAAGAGGAGGGGTATTATCGTTATTGTTGTTGAAAGTGAAGGTGTGTGTGTGTGTGTGTGCAGTGTGTATGTGTGTGTGTAGGTGTGTGTAGTGTGTGTGTGTTGTGTGTGTGTGTGTGTGATATAAGTGCTTTGTTGTTATTTAGCGGAGCATTGGTATAACGATTAAGAGGTATTTAGATAAACAAAACTGTTCGAAATACTAATGGTAATTGAATTACTAGAGTACTTAGACTACAAAGAGTACTGAAATGAGAAGAACTGTTTATTCGAACTACTTACCAAGTAAGGTGAGGGAGCCTTCGTAGAGAAGCCTTCTTCTTGAACTTGCCAGCAACCTCTCGCACGGCTGCCTACTTAGTGTTCCCCGCAGGAACTACCGAGTCGAAGAAAAAAATAATTGTAATTAATAAAATAATTTAAATAATAAAACGAAAAAGACGAAAACACGAAAACAAAAAAATACGCACACATAGACATAAACACACGACATAGACATAGACATAGACATAGACATATACATAGACATAGATGTAGACATAGACACATAAACACAATCATACGAAACGAAATCAATCGGAATTATATTTTCTCTTTTAAAATTAAGAAATTATTAAGAAGGCAAGGATGACCATATTAGAGTTCGTGTGAGATCCCATCCAGGAAGCCACTTTAGCAAAAATCACAAACATTACCACTGTTTTCAAACGTTAATGCTCATAAATAGTCAAAAGATATAATGGTTCATAATTAATTCACGAACGTGTTTGATGTTGCTTCTCGTTAGCAAACAGTGGAAACACTCGCTATCGCACAGAAGCACGCACAAACACACAATCACACACACGCACACAATCACGCACGCACACAAACACGCACGCACACAAACACGCACACAAGCATGCACACGCATAAATGGAAAAGTATTCGGATTACGCCTCCTTCAAACCTTAACAACAACTCCATCATCTCCTTCCTGCGCCCATACTAAATGATAAAAATAAAAATAATAATAAGCACAATAATAACTATAATAATAACTATAATGAGAACTCTTTCATTTCAAAGCAAAGACGATAAATAAGTATGAAAATAAAATAATGAAATGTCACAATAATGTAATAAAATGTAATAAAATGTCAATGATTGCCACAATGCTCATTTTTTAGAAAAAGTACATAGCGGTGAAGTATATTCAAATATATATTACGAATTGTTTCTGTCACAATATATGCCATACGATAGCTTTATAACAGTCTCTATCAATTCATCGTTGAAAGAATCCGGCCCACAAAATTTTAAAAAGTGAAAGATTAAAATTATTATAAAAACCTATTGGTGATATTTCAAAAGTATTTATAATTATTGTGCAGTGTTTATAGTTGTCATTTAGATTACTGTGCAAATAATCTGAATATTTTTTGATCTTGTATTGCCTGGATGATTCAAGATTGGTTTCATGACAGACCATTAACTCTAAGGTCTCTACTGTGTTGCCTAGTAGTATGGCGATGTCAGGTCGTAGAGTGTTGAACAGATCTGCTATAGGGTGAACACCATCAATTTTCAAATCTGCAAACAACCGACAATAGGCAGGCGCACACAGTTTCAATCGGTTGGTGATCGCGGCCAAAATTTTATTGTGTCTTTCAGTGTATCTTTTAAGTGCGGATGTGGAACCGCAGTTAGAAATCACATGTTTATTTGTTTGTTTACAATAATAATAATAATAATAAGCACAATAATAACTATAATAATAATAATAGCAGAAATAAGTCACCATCACCATCATTAGCATAATCACGTGAAACATTATCATCATTGTAGTCATCTTTGTCACCCTCAACACCATCATTCATCGTCGTCGTCGTCGTCGTCATCATTGCCACCACGAACTGAACCAAGCAGAGAACAGCTGTCATAGAATTGAATGAGAGTTTTTATCTTCTCGCTAACGCACTTCCTTCCTGCTACTCATTTTCTCTTTTCCTCTGCACTTCTCTTTCTTCATCTTGTCTCTTTTTTACTTTCCATCCATCTCTCTCCTTCTCTCACTCTCTCTTTCTCTCTCTTTCACTTCCTCACGTATTTAT